ATTTTCTCCTTTCTTGCTAAGATTACAACAACCCCAAAAACTTGTTCAAGTCGTCAATAGAGGCAGTAAGGAGTGCAAACAAACCCGTACACATAGCAGAGAGCATGTGATGGTCGGCGACGTGTGGGAGTATAAACTTTCCGCAAGAGTAGCACAGCCCGCGGCGGGGCTCCGGCGCGAGGGCCTACAGCTGGGGTGGGACCAATTCTGACAGAAAAGTGGGGCATAATACACTGGACACGCTCCCCCAGCTATCCCACTTGTTTTTCATATCTTGGGGGCATCGTATATGCCTGTTTCTTATCGGGATATTTTTGTTATTGGTCTCGATTGACGTGTGTTTCTTAGCCCTTTTTTCTTGTTTTTCGTGACAAATTGCGCCTCTGTTTCTTAACGAAATCTTGCATGACTGCAGGCCGCGCTCTGTATGTTGCGGTGGTGCGTAGGGGAATTGTGATCTCGTACACCGATATTATATGTCCGAACTTGATTAGTCGCCTGCAATGCCCGATTGATGCTCGGTTCGGGCAATTTTTTACCAAGAACATTGCGCGTCCGGCGCAATGCGTTGACAAACGACACGCCTCGCAACACGGTATTCCGCGGTACGACTACTCTCTTTAGATAGCTAAGGGATGATTGACTGCCTCCGAGTGCGGGGTAGCGTTGGCCGTGAAAAATAATGGGTTGCGAACTGTGAGGTTTATCATGCCCTAGTTTCTTAGCCATCAATACCACCAGTCCCCACACGATACGCCTTAAATGGTACGCAATGGTTCTACGTGGGGACTGGGAAAGAAGAAGCTTGAGGATGCGGTGATGGGTCCAGAGAGGTGCGGAGATCGAATCTCTCCGAGGTGTCCCGTAATTTTTTTTGCTTTTCGTCTCTGGTACACCGTTCTGGTGTTGTCAGGCTCGTAGGCTAAGGCGTCCGTTTCTTTGCACGCAAATTAGCGTAGTTATTGTATGGATGAGCCGGTATTCATGATCCAATAGAGCATTCCACGAAAATCGGTAGATATAACCCCTCTCGGCGTGATTTACTTGGGCCTCTTGCGGGGTATTCCCCGATGAATGTTTCACGGAATGGACAACCAACCCTAGAAGGTTTGAATAGTGTTGACTTGCCGATGGTTCGCCTCGAGCGTTAAGTTCTTCGCGCTGGCAGGCAGGATAGAAACAAATTACTTCGTGCATGCAGCAAACCGAACCGTGTCTTCGATGACGCCAAATAACTGGGGTTTTCCTAGCAGAGGGCCTTATGGTAACCATCGTGTCTCGCAGAAGGGCTCACACCTAGCCAGGCCAAGGAGAAGCCAATCAAACTAGCGGGCAGTGTCCTCCGTCCTGCCCAAGTTCAAATGTGTTACCTCGAATACTGGTCTTCTTTCATGCAATACACCCAAGTTTCTTCACCCAGCTTTCCGCGCGTGAACTGATCGGGTGAGGGATTGGGCTTTTTAGTTCCACGTTGCCTGAAGATGTTTTACAGTGGCCATGTGCCTGTAGACGTACACGGCACCAACGTCTGCATACGCCGCAGTGTAAAATTTAACGGCAACATTGCTTGTAGCTTCATCTGCCTGCTAAAATTGGGCTCACCACGGAAACGATGTGCAGAAAAGCGCTTGGGGTTTTATTCCTTCGGAACTGACACACGTTGATCTCTACGAAACCCACAGGAAGATCATGGATCTGTCGGCATGGATCCGCGTCGGTGGACCAGACGGCACGGCAGCAGCAGCGGTACTCGTACGGGATCAAGAGCTGTCAGATACAGGTCGTGTTCCGAAGAAATTGGGCACCACAGACCGCGAACGACGCGCGGTGGAGGGCGCCAAATCGTGGTGGGACGTCGACCGCGGAGACGGTGGAGATGATAGCACGAAGAAAACGGCGAGAGGAGGTAACCTCTCGCCCCTCACGGTGACACCACCACAACCACCACCTCCTCCCCCCCCTCCCCCTCTTTCTCCTCCCCCTCCTCTGTCTCCTGTTCGGCGATGGTCCGACGCCGACGTCGTACGCGTCGCCAGCACCGCGCTGATGGGGGACCTGAAACTGTCGCCGCTCACGGTCCAGGCGCCGCCAAACAACCGGCATCGTCGACGATGTGAGCCGTACACCGCCAAACCGCCAGTCGTCGAGGTACACGACAACTCAGTCGTTTCTCCAGCCGGTAGCAGCAGCAGTAGCGACAGCATCGGCGGCGAGGATCCGAACGTTATGAGAAGGCGTCCTTGGGGAGAAGACGACTGGTTGGCAGCGGACTTATCGGGCGGTGTCGGAGGCGGAGGGGGTAAAGTCCCGGCGCCACCGTGCGGGCCAGGCCTCGGCGCAAGTGAGACAGCACCGGCGGCAGCATCGGCGACTGCCGTAAGCAACAAGGAACAACGGGAGAAGCACTCGTCACGAAGAGCATCGAAACTACCTGTTGACAATGTTTCGATCGAGTCGTTACGTGAGGTAAGGCGATGCACTCCGACCAAAAATAATAGCATTAACAGTTGTGCTGGTCGTTGAAAAGTGGATAAATATGTCCGACTCTTCCAGACGACACCGTGGGCTTGATAGTGAGGGAGAGGGCGTACGATCGATAAAAAAACGAGGTTTTCCATACCTCCCTCAGGGCCTGGCGCTCGAATTTGTTAACCTGACCGTACCGTAACGGTTAAGTATCACTACATTTTTGAAGGAAAGACAGCCCCAACGACCGTCTGGCTTGGCTCCATAGCCTGGCCCGATTGATTCACCGTGCGTCATATAATAGCTCTGTTAAGAGGCCGTAATGGTGGAGAGAAGCACTATGCGAAGGAGCCATCCCGACCATCACTCGTCTTTCGGTGAGGCTCGTCGCCACGGTTTTAGATTCGAAAACAATCACAGATGATGCAAGAGGATGACCGTCAGATTATCATCAAGAGCAACCGGCTCTGTTTCGTGCGTGGAATCGAGGCAGTCGTGAAAGACAGTCAACCTATGAGCCGTACGACGAGGGCAACAAACTGAGCCTCGAACAGAGTAGTCTATCTTGCCGGGCGACGAGGACGAACAATCCCACAACATCTATACCGCAGGATTTCGACTTCGAGGGCCGCACGATTGAGCCGAACAAGCCGTCGGACTCGCCGTTCGCCGCGGCCTTCTCTGTGCCGCGTAGCGACGACGAGCAACACCTCGTGTTCATCGGGCTAGGAGAGACGGGACGGCCGTTGCCAACGCTGGCAGCGAGGGCTCAGTTCTCGGCCAACCCCGGACGCAAAGCTGAGAGAATGGTCGGGCCGTTGCAGGCAAGAGTCGGCAGAAGTTGCAAGACCGGCGTTTCCGCTGGACGTGTTATTGCCCCGCTAGAGACAAATCTACTGCCCCGGTAGACAGGCCTTTCAACGCCGCACGTTGCAACGAGACACATGTAAGATCATCGCCAGTTCTTTCAGCGGGCACAAGAAGTCCGAATGTACACGCTCTGCTCGAGAGCACGGCGTTAAAATGCCCGTTTCATTTCGAGAGGGTTGATGCTCTTGCTGGCACGACAGGCACACCGTCAACGCGTGATCTTGAGAACGTGCTTGGCAAACGAAGGCTGTTAATGGTTGAATACTGACGACGCCATCTCGTACTCGTTCGCTGTGTGCTTGCGAACAGGCCGGCAGCAATGGGCGTGTGTACGGGGCGGTGCAGTATCCGAGCATGGCAGAACTATGGCCGGAGGTGTACAACTCGACAGCCATTCGGGTTGTGAAGGTGCGTCTGTTTTTGTGTTTGGTCGTTTGTTTGGTGGCTCTGGAACCCATGTGTTCGCACCATCGCATCAGAGCTACTATTGATTTCGTCGAGGTATCAACACGAAAGAGCCAGGTCAGGCTGTTAGAGGCGTAACCCCGTGGTTCAATTTCGAGTAACGCGTGAAGAAACAACCTACAACAGTCCAAGCGTAAAAACATGAGGCCTCAAGAACGTTCCGCACGTTGCAAGTGCGGTAGACGAAAATGGTCCATTCCAGACGTCGGGGGCTCCGTGTCTCGGCGTACGTAGACACAATAACAACGTCATGAACTCCATGCGCGGTGTAGACACGATAGAGCGTATCGGTAGCCGATGAGCTCCTACGCGGACTGCGCGGACAGAGGCTTTGATCCAACGCGATCAGCGCGCCTACGCTGCTCCGCTGGAAATATGGGCTCCGGAACAGTCGACTCGATCTGTGACCCCCCTCGACCCACAGCAAGTCCACGCGGTGGTGATCTAGCTTCTCCCACTCATTCGTGTGACGACGACTTGACGGTCTTTAAAACAAGAGAAAACATTTGCAAAGTGCGAAATTTGTCTATTCCGAACGTGACTGGCAAGTCCGGCGCCCTTACGGTCTGCGAGGGGGTCATTAGACTTGGAGGAAAATAGTTGAATTGTGATGTCTCGCTCATTGGGATATAGCCTGCACCATCATCCGTGTGCGGCCAAGAGAACCCAGGGCTGTCGCCACGTGAGACTTTACAAGGTGTGTTGTTGTTGCTTGGTGGACACCGTGGAAAAGTCCTGTTACTGCTACACCGCCCCAAATGCCAGGCACAGAACTCAACCGGAGGAGTGTGGAGAGCATATTTCGCACCAAAGGCAATCAGCCTTCCGCCCCCCCCCCCCCTCCCCTGGTCGGCGTTCGCATTTCCGCCGCGGACGAAAGAGCACGCGTAGAGCCGATCATCTCAACGGTGCCTCCATGGTTACATTCCGCACAACCACGTCCGCAAACACACTGATCACACCTCTGCGCCGTTGCCTTGCTGACATCCGGTAGTTTGCTTCCTTTCTTTTCGTGCGTCACGTGACACCGTCCTTGACTGAACCTGTCAAGGTGGACATGCTCGTGGAGGTCCGATCGCGCTACGGCGACTCGTTGTACCTTGCGACTGAGCTAAAGGTGGGCGCGACAGCTACCTCACCTTGATATGACCAACCTCTGAGGCGCGGGGGGTATTTAGAGCCAAAAGACAACATCCAGCACTGACTGCGTCTCCCAAAATGGACAGGCAAACTGCCCCACGCGATTGGATGACGAACGATTGGGCGAAAACGCACTGTAAGGCGCTCGTTGGTGCACATACAACGGAAATCCTGTCCAACCAGGAAAATAACCTACTGTGGCTTGGGGGGAATTTACGCGGCAGGAAGGTTCACATGTTTGATGTCCCTGTTCGTGATAATTGCTGTTCGCGTTTGGTGGATGTTCCCGCTCGTGCTTCGAGGGGTTGAGAACCTAGGTGCTCTCATCAAAGAAATTTCTGTGTCCTTGTCTTTGTACCGACCACTAATCTCTAAACACAGATAGCGCCTAGAATCATGTTCGTCCTTGCTGAAACTTTGCGTATCCAGTGGTGACCCTTTTCCTCCATCTCCCTCATACCAGGTACTTGCGCACAGGCCGCTTCATTGTCGTGAGTAATCCCTAATCACACATTGCCCAAGCCCTCCGCAATTCCTTCCCTATCTGGGATGCCTGAATACACGATTCGTGCGGTTGAACCTTCAGCAATATTGATCTTTCATGTGTGTGCTCTCCGCCTGTATGTGCTTCCGGACCAGGCGATGTACCGTCGACCGCCAGGGGGCAGTAGGAACCAAGGCGCGTTATGGAGGCCGTAGATACGTTTATGGCGACGAAGGACGCACTGAACGCCGTCAAGTAGCACGGGATATTACAAAGCAACATACGCTGTTTCAACGGGCACGTAGGCAAGCACGAGGTAAAAGAGTCAGATACCTTTGGTTTTGCGGGTATTGTCCGGCAAATCTTCCTTCTTTAGTGGGTAGGAAACTTCCACTGCGGACTTCACAGAGGCCACGATAAGTGGCGTAGATGTATGTATTCCAGCCTCATGGCCTCGATCGGCGTATGTAGGGTCCTTGTTGGTGCGGTATCGGTTGGCCATCCTGCGCGTGACTATGGGTGCCGCAAGGCTTCTACAACTTTAATTTCTGTTCGGACAAGTCCCTCTTCCGTTCATTTTAGATCAAGTAGAGGAATTGTCGTGGTGGTAGGTAGGGGGGAATACCGAAAGGTAAGGCGTTGCGAGAATGCACGATCGAGTTCTATCGGCGATGTGTGCCGATGCGAAGACTGTCGCAAGGCGTTGTGCGTATGCAGAAACGGTGCTTCAGGTCTCTCTTGAATGTCGTGACGGATGGTGGGGTATGGTGTCTCAACAGCGAAAACCCGCGACGAAACCAAATATAAGAATGATTCCGTGGTCGGGATAGGTATGGTTTAAATCGCTTTCGTTCCCTCTTGTGATGTAGGTTACCGCGAGTTGGCAGCATACCACAGTTAGGGCCCGGAGAGGAGAATTATTTATCGACTTTTCCGTCGAGACTCAATTTCGTATTTCGCCGCCACGGTGGAGAAATATATAGATTCTAGTGTTGAATCCTCGGCAGAGCTATGCTTCACATAGCACCAATTGCAAAAAATTCGCAAACGCTGGAAATATTCATATTTCTTGCGTTCTCCATTTGTCCTACTTTATATCGTAGAAGTATGTGACTAGCCACGTCTGACTGTTGGCTGGCTAGGGGTAGTTTAGTTCCTGTCGGCTTGTTGGTTCTGCTCTGCTTTCGCGTCTCTTCTTCTGGGTGCTTTTTCTTCTACCTTTTGGTTTCCTAAAGAAATGTCATTTTTATGCAGATAGTCGTGGACCGCACAAGGGGGCCCCCTCCGTTGGACCGGTACAGATGCTAGAAGGTGATGAGCAGAGACCGGAGCGGTTCTTCATGTGAATACAACACAGCTCCTTTTCTAGGAGACGTTTTTCTTGACTGCGGGCCCCTCTAGAGAATACGCCGGAGGGACAACGAAAATAAGAATAGGCCGCCTGATGTAATGCGACATGGGTGGTGACACAATTTTGACGTCGAGCCATATTCGCGCAATGCAGGAAATGCTGGGCCGAGGGGGACTAGGCATTATTATGAACGGCGAGTGTGTAGATAATGTATGCAAAGTACGAGAGCGAGGTGGGGGGGGGGAGAGTTCGGTAAACCTTGTATTGTCGTGGACCTCGCATAAGGGGCGGGGTGCGAATCAAGTACCCGTGTGGCTGTAATATAGTATTGATCACACGCCGTGGGTATTTCATGTTTCCCTTTGGGCATCGACCACACGGCGGACCAAACGTTGACTTCATTCCAGAGATCCCGCATGATTCGAGATGCCATCGTAGAAACCCATTGGATTCCAGGAGTCGGCCATTGTTTGTGGTCACGCGTGCTGGAAATTTATTCGTGTGAGGGATGTGCACGCGGCAGTTATTGTACGTGCGTGTATTGGTGTGTGTGTGTCATTATTACTATCATCGACCACCGACTGTGTGTGGGTGTGGCCTCACACACACGCTGTGCATATGTGTTCTTAGACGACATGGTACCCATACTCAACACCAACCACTGAGGGTGTTGGTGCCTCGAACACGATATATCTCTAGTTGAGGCCTTTGTGCTTTCCGAATGCTTGTTTCTGTTGGCTAAGAAGTTGAGACGTTATCTTGTTTGAGTTTTTTGTCTTTTCTTTGAAGCTGTTTTCTTCAAAACTGTCCGTCACCGTTCCGACGCTTTCCTGATGTAGCGCTGGGACGCTTGTTGGGTACTTTTTCCGAGGATTGTTTCTTTGTGTTCATGGCGTTCAAAAATTCCAGGGACGAGAGCGTTTGGTAAACTGATGGAGACGCGTTGTGTTGAATGCATAGCCAGTTGTGTTGAAGGGGTTTCGTCACGTGGTATTTTCTGTGTTGGTCAGCTATTACTCTTGAAGCATGTCAAGGTTGTCTCCTACCTATATCAAGAAGGGGGGCTGTTTGTGGCACTTGGGTGCGATATCCGATCTGGGTAAATAGTATTTGTGTGAGGGGAATGTATGCGGTTGGGGTTCCGAGTGGGGCCCTCCCCGAGAGAGCGCACGCCGGCGTGCTCCCTGGCCGGTCTCGTTGTAGGTAGTGTGTGGTTTGTGTGTTTGTGCGTCCCTACATACCATGTTCACGAACGATATGTGGTTTGTTTTCTTCATCGGCCGTTCCTGAGATAGCTTAGTGCCCACACTCAACACCAACCGCTGAGGGCGGTGGCGACTCGAACAGCCATCTGATGTTCATGCAGAGAGATTGCTGACGAGCTGTGGGGAAACTTCGGAGAAGTCGAGGCAGGAGGACCTGTTAGGGGACGATAAGTTCTGACAATATCGCAGAAAACGAAAATACACAAGTGTTACCTGTCGGACGCGGTGTATCCACGTTCGTCAGAACCACGGGGATGAGTGTACAATGTAGTGCAGATTTCCTTCGCAAGTGTAAGGGCAACGCCGGCGATGGTATTCACAAACGGTGACGCTTGGTGGAATGAGAGTGTTCTGTTGTTGTTTGATCTACCACACAAGTTGTCGTGTTCCACGTCGTACGTTGAACCTACTCGTCTACCTATGCATCAAACGTTGTATCCATGCGAGGGTACACTTCAACCCTCTCTGCATCGTATTCAGGCGTGGCGGCAGGCACCTTTTTCTCTCTCGCATAGAAAGTTCGGCAGTATAGATATCAATTTAAAACCTCACTTCGTTTGAAGCTAACGGATAGAATCTGAAGGTGCCGCGCTGCAAGCCAAGCCCAAACTGCTGAAGCAACGACAAAGCCGGCAAAAGGTCCACAATCTCAATTATTGGTGGGCGTTGAAGCTCACCGTGTGTCCATGTCGGTCTCAGTTCGCGGGCGCGTTGTCGACTACGTGGAGAAGCAGTCGATCCGGCATCACCGTCTTCGTAGGCGACGGAAGCACACGCAGCCTCCCTTGGTCTTGTGAATTTGGCGGAGACCTCTCCACCGTTGGGTTGCATGCACCACAGCCGTCCACCTCGAACGCACCCTTGACTAGCAGAGAGTAGTCGAGCACGGCCGAGTCCTGCAAGCTCGAGTAGCTTTCCCTGCAGGTTGCCATGATCTCTCTCCAACCGGACGGTACGACGGAGACCTGATTCAACGGCCCAAATGTGCCAAACCACAAAAACTCCAGAATCTTGTCAGAACTCTAGAATCGTGTAGTTGATCACCGCGGGTACGCCGTGTGTGGCGCAAGAGGCCCTCCAAAATAAACGGGACGATAAGGTGGAACGTGGGATGCAGGTATGTATGACGGCCGCCACCCGAGGTGCCTCTATGTTGGCATCACGGACGATCCCGTTGCAGAGTAAGCACGATACCACGTGGCATCTCCGTGCCCTTGTCCGTGTTGCCCGCAGGCGTTGTTCGATCTGATCGCCATTGGGAAGCCGTGAACGAACGGACCGCTCGGCCGACGCGGCACGAAGGAGGAACTGAGGACACCCCATCGGTGGAAGGGTTCGGCATCCACCGCCGCCGGTGTGGCCGGCTGGCTATTACCCCGGCGCGAATCGTGGCAGAGGTCTGGCCGCCTCGACGTCCCTCAAAGGAAGATTGTCCCAGGGAAATGGGCACATAATGCTTCCCACTTCCCAGGAGTTTTTACTCGCCTGGTCGGCCAGGCCGGTGCCGGGGTCAAAATGCATCCCGCGAAAGAGTCAAGATTCGCTCTCTGGTAGGCTTCGCGGAGGCCCTGCTTGCGCTGCGGAAGTCGCCCCCAGGAGATCGTGGCGCACCCTCGGTAGTATGAGACGCTTCTAGGCCAGCTTCGCTCAGGCGCGAATGGAGTGGGGAGGCCACCCGATCAAAACATCCTCTTGCAGGGCTGCACGCACGGCCTACATGTAGTGTGGTCCCCGATGGAACAAGCAAAGTGTTCTCACGCCTCGAACGGTCCCGCGCGGAACGGCGGGCGGATATACGGCTAGCCAAGCTACAGGGAGGCTAACCCTAACGCATGGTAGGATGGGGTCTGTTGGGTACCCCAGAATGCTCCCTGCAAAAAGGGGGTGCTGAGACCAGCTCCAGTTCTTAAGGCCTGTTGGTGACTCTTGCCATCTACGGGCTTTTACGCCCTCCGATTGGTCGAGCACTGGTTCGGGCGATCGATTCCATTCCATATTCCGACAACGCGGCGCAGCTGCGTTTTATCGCAGTTCGCGGCCGCTAGGCCGTGCGTTGATCATGGGTTAGGGTTAGGGTTAGAGCTAGGGTTAGGGTTAGGGTTAGGGTTAGGGTTGGATTCGGTTGGGTTGACCACAGTGTGTGACACATCCCATGTGAGGGACCTAGGTTCAACGTCCGGTTAGACCTCGCTGAGACTCTTGTTTCTTGATGAGATCCTCAGGGGCACAGCTCGGTGCATTTCGTGAAAGGCGGGGCGGCAACCAAAAACCGCGTGGCACCGGAGCAAGGCGCAAGGCGGTCGGCAGATAATGGAGGTATGCCCGCGCGTGAATCAAAGCCAAACTCGCGAGCGACTGGAGATCGAGAGGACCAGAGAAGCGGGGGGTAGACAACGGATCCACGTATGCATACAACATTTACGCATGCCTCTCACGTCCACAACAAGTTTATTGTGCCTGCCCGCACCTATCAGAAGCATCTTGCGTCCTTCGCAGCAAGCGAGTCTGTCACACATATACACGCACACAATAAAAAAAAATGACTGAAGAAATATTGGGCTCATAGCCGCCGGCGCCACACACCATATATCCTACACAAATTTGAACAGCCTGCTGAGCTCAATCATGTAGGGTCTCTAAGACTTTAAACCTTTCGGAATGAAGACACGGGTGGTGCAATTGTACAAATCCATAGCCATGTGCACATACCATCAACAAGCGCGGGCCAGCACCGCTCATCATCTCGAAAAGGCCATAGGGAAAAATAGATACGGATACGCCATCAGCATGCGACACGATCGCACTCACACGCTGTCCCTAGACACTTCTCCCCACGTGCCCCTACTATGCCGGGGGTAGCCATAGTCCGATGTGTCGCGCCATCGGCGAGATGGTAACAAGTTAGTGCAAGATCTACCTACAGCCACAACGCCACAACACACCACACGACAAGAAATTTCGAAATTTCCGAGAAAAAATCACCGTACGATCCACGGAGTCCCCTTCCTACCCACTAGGCGTAAGCAATCTGTCGTGCCCCTCTCTCAACAAAAAGCGTGCAACACCCAAGCTATCATATCCTGCTGTGCGAGACCGCCAAGGCTCGCGCGAGGGGAGACAAAGTTGTTGCCAAGCCAGGCAACTACAGCAGCGCATCAAGCGATGGTCATGGCGCGGCTCGCGTGGATTGGCGCGACGGTCCTCGCGGCTACGGCGACCGCGGAGGAACCTCAACGGCGCTGGTACCCCAACGAGATCGTCCATCTACCCGGGCACACGATCACAGAGAAGGTGAGCGGATTACAGGATCGACCATGGAAATTTTGACGTGCTGGTGATCGCCAGCTGGGCTTGGAGCGTGCTAGCATGTCGGGCTCGCTGCGACCAAGCACGTGTTTCTGCCTCAGGAGCTCTTGGCGTCTCCCAGCGTGTCTGTTTTTGAAAACCTTGGGTCTTTGCCTTGTGGCACGCCCCCAACCTAAAAGAGTGCCGGTTCGCCCTCAAGTGTTCCCTCCTCATCCTTTTTTTATTGATAATTTTGCATATTTGTACCACTCAGCAGTACATGCATCGGAGACAGCATATGCCATTGTTCCTTGAAGTCTCTCTGATGCATTGATGCTGGTGACCCTCTCTGTCGGAACTGCTCGGGGCTCAACATGCGGGTGACATTTATGCTGTGCCCTGGTTGTGAACGACCAGCAGACTAGCTTCAAAAACTCTGGTCTTCAGGAATAATAAAACTCTGGTCTGCATTCGCGCTTGATTTTGATCACGAAAAACGGCGGTGGACAAACCTTGAAAAGATTGAACGCACCTTGTTGTCTGTGTCTTTTTGGCAATTCACACGTACACCCGATGGCAGCTTCTCCCTGCCCTTTCCGTGACGGGCATGGTTCCGCGATCGTGGAGCACTCGATCAATACAGGCAGCAGCAGTGTCTATGCGTTTGAGTATGCTCAATTTCGGGCCCAAAAGTCGGGGTTGGCCTATTCAGATTTCAGAGTGCTGTGGAGCAGCAGTTGCATCAGATCGGGTATTTGACAATCCAGCAAGCTGTCAATAGATACTGCGCCGTGTCCCCTGTAAAGATTATATTTTACAATACACGACACGACGAAGGGATTCTTCCCCGATATTTTGTCGTTGACCCAGTAGAGAACTACGGGGAATGTCGTATTGTAAACTGTAAGTTACCTATACAGATGTTTTTGTACTTAGCACCAGCTGGCATCACTGATATAAATCATCAGTGTACAGACTTAAAAAGACTCGAAATAAGTCCAGTATTTATCCAGCCGGTTTTCCTCCACTCACTGAGAAGACTCTACCACATCCCGTTCGACTGCTGCTGTGGGCATATCTCGAATGGGTACTCTTTCTCTGTGTGTGTTTATTATTCCTGAAGTATATACGTACTCTGTATGCACAGTCTGCAGCGCGTTCCTACACACACAGCGACAACGAAGAGTGATCCGCACGAGTTACCCAGACGTTCAGCACGATGCCGATTTCCGTGAAAAGCGCTGCCTACAAAATGCATTTTAATAACGAATTCCCGCTATTTTGTACCATGTAAAGAAACCTTCGTCATTGTGACGTTTTCTTTTTTTTTTTGTCTTCACTTCAAATCTCACGGCACTAGTGCGGTTTATTTAGCTCACGGCACTAGTGCCGTTTACTCCAACCCGTGGTCACACAGAAGGGCCCCTCTCTACCCTCCCCACCTGCGGTACTTTGCCTTCGATTTTTAATGCGAGAAGAGTTTGGCACTCTCTTCCCTCTGTGTACACACGAACTAGCGCTATCCACTAGGCCAGGAGCGGAAGCGAGAGAAAAACTCACTTTGCAAGAAAAGCTCGCCTACGCCGGGATTCGAACCCCTGACCTGACCTCTAGAAGGTTTCGAGGTTACCAACTTGACCACCGGGGCGACCGGCTGTGTGCATGCTGCTTGTAAATTGTTGCCCGATCCCCCTGGCAGTCGCTGCCCACCTTTGTGTGTGATCTATTTCTTATTGCTCCATCAAGGGAAGCCATAAAAATGCCGGTCTCCACCGTTCATCTCTGCCTTCCTGCTTGATGTGGCAGGTCTCAAACAGCAGTGATGCTCACTCCTAGGTATGAGTATTTTGGTCATGTCCAATGTCCAAATTCCCGCAGAGAAAATGCACTACCAAAAGAAACAGGAACGGCACATTACCAATTGCATCTATTGTGTGCGGTCGAGTACGCATATGCATAGAAGAGATGAGCTTGTTGAGATAATTCCCAGAAATTGCGCTTTTACCTCTGCCGCGGCGGCATTGACTCTTCTCTGAGGGAACACGCTTCTGGGCCCGCCGTGATGAAACTCTACCTGCCACGTATGGTAGTATATCTACATACAACGCATTTACATTTCGTCACAAGCCAAAATAAGACGGAACCTACCCACCGTGGCGCCAGACACCCCCCCCCCCTCCGAGGAGTAGACTACTACAACCTCTTGCCACGTACCTCTTCCCTTTTCGCGGCGGGTACGGTGTTTTTTTCCTGGAGTCGTCGGAGCGAGATGGAATCTTCTTCATGGCAGCTGCTGTACGTTGCTCCGACTGCTGTCTCAGACGAACTTTGTCCGGTAGCGCCAGCAGCGGGCCGTTCGGGGCGGCTACCTGCTCTGAGATACGTACCACATTGTGTGCAAACACGGTAGAGCAGTACCATGTTGCAGCTGTGCGTGATCAGCGTCCCGCCGGCACTCATATACAATAGAGCTTTTTCCTCTGTTTTTTTGCTGCGCGCGAGTTGCTGTACGCCCGTGTATCACACGCCTGATATCCCCGCTTCTTGTCCGTTACGACAAGAGCGCTCCTCTGCAGTGTATCGCGCTACAGCAGTATGTATAAATACAACCTTTGGTGTATTTTCTCGTCACGGTATTCTACTTCGGCTTTTTCGCCGAGAGAGCGTGCGCCGAAACCGTCGCGATCCCCGCCGAGGGTAGAACGAGTGCTGCTCGATCAGGTGGCGAGAGAGATGCATCGGGGACTATGGAAGGGCCTCATACGATCACTATGCCAGTCAAGAACACAGGCACACCTCTAGTCATAATTATCGGTCAAAGCCCCAAAGTCTCCACTCGCTCTCCCCGCTTGATATTTTCCCCTCACCCACCGTTTCAGGTTTCCATTTTTTTTGCTGTGGTTTCGACGCCAGGGACATGTTGTCGTTTGAAACTCGTCCTTGTTGCACGAAGCGCTTCGAACCCTGTACTTGCTGGCGGGGGATTGAACCCCCCTGCCCTCCATTCTTTGTAGAAGAAAGTTTGTTTGCATGCCATCAGACATTCGAGCGCACGTTTTATTCCTGAGGACGTAAACCCCACAAATAAGGGTTTTCATATCTACGGTATGGCATGATTTTGTCTCTGGGGGCGTTGTTGTTCCTCTAGGCTCCGCAGGCAAGGAAGGATGCGTTGAAAACCTCCGCGCAAAATCGTCTCTTGGCAAGCCTGTATGCAGCAAGGGTGTTGCCTCGTATCGAATTGTCTTGGGCGTCGTCCGCGCTTGACTGTTTTTGTTTTTGTTTTTGACCGCCGAGTGCGAACAACACGACGCGCCTGCCCGCCACTACCCCCGACCATCCCGGCGGACGCCCTCAGTGCGCAACGCCTGTGGCGGGCAAACCCCGATGTTTTTCCTCCGCCCGACCTTTGCAGGAGCGCGCGAGAAAGAGCTGTTGGCCCCGACAACTGCAGCCGTACACGTCTCGTCGAGTCGTATTACTAGAAGTAAAAGATTCCTCGGCTTGCGTCATGATGACTCATGAACCCCCCCCCCCCCCCCTTTTTTGTTGTTCCTTGCGAGGTCAGGTCACGTCTCCGCTGCCCCACACGTACTTGGACCCTAGCGACCTGCCCCGGTTCTTCTCGTGGACCAATGTCGGAGGTCGATCGTACGTGACCAAGAACCTGAATCAGCACATTCCCCAGTACTGCGGGTCCTGGTGAGAGAAGAGAGAACCGATCATCAAAAAATGTTTGGTCGCTCAACAACTGTGCTACAGCAGAAATGATATTATTGCGGATTGGATACCACGCTGCATACATGTGGTCAAATTCCACGCTTTGTGAAAGTGTTGGTCGCTCAACTGCAGCAGGAAGAAATATATGGTCAGAAATACCGACATACTGATGTGGTCGATTTCCTGCCGCAGCTATTTAGATAGATAGCGCCATCGCCCGGTTCGACATGAACGTGGCGCGAATGGCACAGCGACGTCGTTGCGATCCTCGGCCCACGCTGTGTTGGTACCTCGGGCTCTCTGTGAGAACCGGCGATGGCGGTGCTGTCGGGGTCCGCCCGTCGCCGCCAATCGCCGGTTTTCACAGAGCGCCCCGAGGGCCCGAAGAGATGTGGCTACATAGGGCCGCGCGATGACGATGGGGTAACGAGAGCGCCTGCGCGCGGCCGACTTTTGTCGATAACCGGGATGGTGCCATCCATCCAGCGAAAAGCTGCTGCTGCTGCTGCAGCGGCTGGAAGTCCTGTATTACCACATGCTGTGAATTGTGACGCCTAGGAAAACGAAACCAGGAATGGAAATAGATGACGTGGAATACCACAAGAGACAAGCGACGTGAAGAGCACTGCAGCAGCAACGAACCACCACCGCAGTCGCATCCTTGAACGCACGGTGGCGGTGGTTTGTGTTGCTGGCGTAGCGGATGTCACGCCGTCAAGTGTTGTTATTTCCTGGTTATTATTTTTGTGGGTGTCATCACTGCCTTGGAATTTGGGTACTTTTAGACTTTTTATTAAATAGTGATCCCTCCTCAGAATAGGCTCGTGAGAGCACAGCATTGTCATGAAGGGGTGCTGCAAGATGAAAATGGAAGCAGGCAGCACGGACCAACTGCCAGCTGCGGTGTGACTCAACAGCTCACACGGGTGACGTGCTTTTTGCTCGGAACAGCCGAGGGAACCTCATCGAGCCAAGAGTTGCAATCCTGTGTTTGGTTTTTACAGCAGTCTTGTTTTGTGGTTTTCCCTTTTTCTTCGCGACTGTTGTCCACTCCCTTTGACGTTTTTTTTTTTTTTGACAAGCCGGTCAGGAGTGACGCAAAAGGCAGGTAGACGCTCGGAGTCGTCTTCTTCGCCTCTGCGCTGTTCCCTGTCTGAGTGTTGACCTACATGCCTGTGCTGAGAAACTTGGCTTTTATTTCATGCTGGCGTTTGTCATCAAATGTTGCAACAAAAAAAAAGAGACTGCATCTCGTTCGCGTGCATTCCACTTGGCGCTGGTTCGCGCTGGCTTTTACCGTTTTACCATCAATGTTAACCAACAAAAAAAATGGATCGTACCTCATTTGTGTACCACTTGGCGTTGATTTCGCACCGGCTTCAGTCATGGGCACAACACAAAAAGGATCGTTGCACCTCATTCGCGTTGATTCCACGCGTGCGCCGGAGCCCCCTTGAGCACCACCGGGAGCGAACAGAGCCTGAGAGTGTCGAATGTATGCGCTTACATACGATGTTCAATGCCTCCGGGCATTCCTCCCGTTGCGCTGCTCTCCCCCTCGTGATTTTGGGCCGACTGAACCCGACAACAGCTGGGCCCACGGAGCGCTGAGCAGTCTTGCCGACCGCATCAAGATCATGCGCGATGGACGCGGCGCTGACATCAACCTCTCTGTCCAGGTGCGCGGCGTTATCCCACTGAAATACATACCGTTTCGGCGTCTTTTTGCGTGGTTTTTGTCCCCACCACCCCCCCTGCCTCCCGCCTGGTGACGTGGTATTCAGCTTGGTCCGGTGAAAACCCGGCGTACTCCGTCCCGGCTTTTGCGAGGTCTAGACCAGGGCTGCACTACTATGATTGCAATCCCCGCGCGCGCGTGCCCAACATCGTCCACCCTCTACCCTCTTTTTTCCGTGTTGCTGGTCTTGGGGCATTGTTTTATTTTTGCGGAAACGGCGTCAGTCACGCAACAGGGGCCGTTCCTCTGTTGTCCAGGAGTTTGGTGGCCGATGTCGTGGGTGTGGGTTGGGGACACATGGGGGTGTCTTCTGTTTCTGCTCCAATTTTGTTTTGCTCTTTTTTCTGAGTCTTGGGTACGCGTGATGTTTCTCACCTCTCTCTGGAATGTTTTTTGTTCTTGTCGCAGGCAATTTCTCGCTTTCTCTCGCGTCAGATTTTCAGCACCCACGCGTGCTTCGGACATGCCGCCATAGCGAGTCGACTGTACAAGTAGTATGTACTCAAGTGTGGCAATCCACATACCGTGTGCCACGCTACTCAAAATACCCCCCCCCCCCACGAAACATGAGTATGAGTACACCCCCCCCCACGAAACAATCCCCCCCTCACCCTTCGGCACAACGTATTACACCCGGCGATATTGCTGTTGCGGCTCACAAGGCACAAACGTTTTTGCATCACCCAAGATGCCACACACCAAACAACATCCCCGGTTCATATTTTTGGACGCATCCCCAAGTTTTTTTTCGGGTGTGTGGAGGATTATGGTGGGTATAGACGCATGTGCACATTTGCCGTTTGGTCAACTGCTTCGGGCGCTCGTTGCCTCCCTGTAGGAGATGAACACGCCCTCACCCCACTCCCACCCCGCCCGCGAGCCTTGCGTGTGGTTGCGGTGAGGCTAATCGCAAGCGCTTGTTTAGGTGGTCCCGCTTGGTCCCATTGAGTTGTCCCGGCTCGTGGTGCTTAGTTTTCTCAACCAAACAAAGGATAAAACCGTGCTTCAAATTGTAGTTTCAGACGGGAATTGTTCCATCGTGTTGAACGATCTTCTGCGGTCCACATCCCCGACAATTATATAACTCCCTGCGTCCCCCCGTCCCCCGCCTACTGCTGCTGCTGCTTCTTAAGGTCATCCTCAACTGCGCCACCGAACTGGCCGGCTCTTGCCACGGTGGCTCCCACACGGGCACCTACGAGTACGCGTCGAACAACCCCGTCCCCTTCGACACGTGCCAGCAGTACCAGGCCTCCGACAACACGTGCGACGCGATTGGCAAGTGCAAGACGTGCTGGGTAAGTGAGGTCTCGACACATAAAATGGAGCACAACGCGCACCGTCTTTTCGTGCGGAGAGGGGGAATGTGGACGCGATGCGATGAACCAACCGGGTTGCTTTTCTCTTCTTTTCTTTTCTCGTTGTTGTTTGGCTGAATCTGTGCCGGGGGCAACAGGCGCCAAGTCAGCATTCCTCTTCGATACCGTGTACCGATACAGTGGATAATTATTTTCTGTCGTCGTGTTTCAATTGCGTGTGCATTGTCACATGCCACACCAGTCGACCCTTGGCGCAACGGGCGACCATGATTTCATTTTCCGCGAAAAGTTCGTTTCGCAAGTCGATGATCATCATGTTTTGTAACGCTTGAGTACATTTTGGCCCGACCCGTGTTCCTCTCCGGACCCCTCGTCACAACGGGTAGGAAGGCTTGCTGTCCCTCGCGAATGCCCTGGCGTGCCCTATGCGGCTCTTTCTACGCAAAAGAGGTTCTCCCTTGCTTGCTTCGAATTCAACAGGACCCCTCGCCAACTTTTATTTTTCAACCGGCCCGCCACTTGGCCGATTCCCCACCCCCCCGGCGTAATACTCACGCTGTTTCTCGCTCAGAAGAGCGGGGGCAAAAGGGTTGCATCTGCAGTGCGCGTGGCTTCGGGGACCGTTTTTTTGTTGTTGTAGATTTGAACTCTACAAATCCATCTCTTTCACACAAGATTTGGAGTCCGTGATAAGATTAGGAATGAATTGATGGGCGTTGCAGTATTGTATTGTATTGTGAAGAAAAGTTGTTTCCATTCTGTCGGGGATGCGTGCGCATGCTCTGAGGGTGGTCCGCAGAACGCTGACGCCAAGATACGACGCCGTTTGTGAACACCCGAGGACAAGCAACTTTTCGAAACCGTCGCGCGTCGAGGGTGCGTGGTGGGCAACGAACGTTGATTTGGAAAGATTCCAACACGACGCACTAAAACTACATACTGTAGCACCGTTATGAACAACAAACGACATGTAATTTTTTATTGTGTGTGATTTTGACGCAGAACTTCGACGAGGAGTGCGCGGCGGTCGAGAGCTTCCCCAACGCCACCGTCGCCGAGTACGGGACGGTCTCCGGGGAGGCGGACATCATGGCGGAGGTGTTCGCGAGGGGCCCCGTGGCGTGCGAGATCGACGCGTCCCCTCTCCGCGAGTACACGGTGAGAGCGGGCTGGCTTGTTCCTCCGCCTTTCGCCTGTACTGCCTCTCTCTCTCTCTCTCTCTGTCGCTCTCCGTCTCTGTCTCTGTCTCTGCCTCTTTCTCCGTCTCCCCCTCGCGGTAGAGGTGTGGTGTTTTTTTTTTGTTGCAGAAGGGGGTGCGGCTACGACGGCGGCTACGACGGCGGCGGCGTCAGTCAGTCTGCTGGCGTAGCCAGCCTTGTGTTGTACCACATCGGCGGTCGCGAGTGCTTACTGTCACACCCCCTTCTACTCGCGACGTCCGTCCTGCTTGTGACGATCTTCCTTCTCGTTTCGATTGCCAACAAAAACGTTAGGGAGGCGTGATCGACATTCCGGATGTCTCGGCGGAGACCGACCATATCGTGGCCATTGCCGGTTGGGGCGAGACCAGGGAAGGAGACAAGTGAGAGGAACAATAATGCCTTGACAGCAACCAGTGGCTGTTGTTTCTGCTGGTGTGTTTTGATACGTGTCGCCTTCCCGTTTGGTTGGCGGAATCTGTCAAGAGCTGGGTTTTTTTTCGTAGGTGTTCGCCGAGCACGCCTTCGTTGGCTTCGTGCTACCGCCGCCAAATCACTCTTCGCCCAGTGGTGTCTTTCGTGCGTGTGGTGCGGGGGATCTACGATGATGGGTGTGAGGGCTGCCTGTGCTGCTCACCGCTGCCCGCCTCTCCTCGGACGAAAAAAAAACACAGTAACCTTGTCGTTTTTTTTTGTTTTTTCGACTAAGTAAACATGTTGGATAAACCATGCAATCGGGGAAGTTTTTTGGGTTCAGGGAATTGGATCTGCGTACCCCCTCCCTGTTCTGTTTCCTCAAAAAACAACAAGTATCATTACCGCGAAGGCGGTCCAACAAAAAGAAAACGACACTCACACACGCACCCGTCTCCGCCTCAGGTTCTGGATCGTCCGCAACTCGTGGGGAGAGTACTGGGGCGAGGGCGGCTGGTTCCGCCTCAAGCGCGGGGAGAACCAGCTCCTGCTAGAGTCCAACTGCGCTTGGGCAGTGCCCGGGTCATGGACGGAGCTCCAGCCCCCCCACCACCACCACGACCACCCCGATGACCCCGAGCGTCCCGACGGCCCGTTCGGTACGAAGACCATTTTTTTTTTTTTCACGGAAATGGGTATGGTGCAGTTTTTGGTTGGGGGAGGAGCCTCGGCGGCAGGCAACACAGCGATTCACAGGCATCCCTCGCGGTTTTTGAGGTGAACGTGTACATTGGTTGCATGCGTGTGCGGACGAGCTCGTCTCTGCCCGTCGTTGGTGCCAAGTGATAGGGCGCCTGGCGTCAAACGCGCCACCCGTCGCTTGTTTTACCCCGCCAAGATCAAGATGACAGCCTCGCACACACGGATATCTATCTCATATACTCATATATTGTACACCACACGCGTCGGTCGTCTCACGTCGCGGGTCTTCACGCCGGTCCCCCCATCCGCCTGTCCATCGCGCGCAGGACCTAACGGCCCGTTTAGGCCCAACGGACCCCCGGGACCCCCCGGACAAGATGGACCCTCGGGACCCCCGGGCCAATACCGACCCCAGGGACCCCCCGGCCAAGGTGGACCCCCAGGACCCCCCGGCCAAAACGGACCTCCGGGCCAGGACGGACCCCCTGGCCAAAATGGACCCCCCGGCCAAGGTGGACCCCCGGGACCCCCCGGCCAAAACGGACCTCCGGGCCAGGACGGACCCCCTGGCCAAGGTGGACCCCCGGGACCCCGCGGCCAAAATGGACCCCCCGGCCAAGGTGGACCCCCGGGACCCCCCGGCCAAAACGGACCTCCGGGCCAGGATGGACCCCCTGGCCAAGGTGGACCCCCGGGACCCCGCGGCCAAAATGGACCCCCCGGCCAAGGTGGACCTCCGGGACCCCCCGGCCAAAACGGACCTCCGGGCCAGGATGGACCCCCTGGCCAAGGTGGACCCCCGGGACCCCGCGGCCAAAATGGACCCCCCGGCCAAAACGGACCTCCGGGCCAGAATGACCCCCCTGGTCAAAATGGACCCCCGGGACCCCGCGGCCAAAATGGACCTCCGGGCCAGGACGGACCCCCTGGCCAAGGTGGACCCCCGGGACCCCGCGGCCAAAATGGACCCCCCGGCCAAGGTGGACCCCCGGGACCCCCCGGCCAAAACGGACCTCCGGGCCAGGATGGACCCCCTGGCCAAGGTGGACCCCCGGGACCCCGCGGCCAAAATGGACCCCCCGGCCAAAACGGACCTCCGGGCCAGGATGGCCCCCCTGGCCAAAATGGACCCCCGGGACCCCGCGGCCAAAATGGACCTCCGGGCCAGGATGGACACCCTGGCCAAGGTGGACCCCCGGGACCCCGCGGCCAAAATGGACCTCCGGGCCAGGATGGACCCCCTGGCCAAGGTGGACCCCCGGGACCCCCCGGCCAAAACGGACCTCCGGGCCAGAATGGCCCCCCTGGCCAAAATGGACCCCCGGGACCCCGCGGCCAAAATGGACCCCCCGGCCAAGGTGGACCCCCGGGACCCCCCGGCCAAAACGGACCTCCGGGCCAGAATGGCCCCCCTGGCCAAAATGGACCCCCGGGTCCCCGCGGCCAAAATGGACCCCCCGGACAACATGGATCCGAGGGCCCTGACGGTCCGCCGCCAGGTAACGAACCTCAATCGAATATGTAGCTCTTAACAGTCTTTCGAAAGGCATTACTAGCCACGATAGGCTAGGTCTTTGGGCAATAGTGTGATTGACCAATCCAAACACTTTTGTGAAATGAGGGGCCTCTGGTTCTCTGGCACGACCCTGTCAACCTCTGTACCGGGGACGGTTAAAGCGAATACCTCGGATAACCACCACCACTGGCTACCCTCGGCACACACTTCGTTGCATCTCAAATCAGACCCTAGTGCAATGTCTGGACAGACTATTTGCTACGGTACATGGGAGCAAGATGGCAATAGAATTTACAGGCAAGCATTGCCTGCGTAGCAGCAACACAAGCGTGATGTTTGCAACCTCGCTCTCCCTCCCTGTCGCTCTCCGAAGGTCAACCCGAATGAATCTGGCATGTGATATGATACTGACTGAAACGCCAAAGCCACCGCCGCAGACCGCTTATGCAGCTCTTGCGCAACCACACCGAGGTACCAGCTACAACCAACCAACACACCCCGGTTTTTCTGTTGCACGCCCACCTCGTTTGCCAGGACCCCCGGGCCCCAACAACGATCCTTCGAACCCCTCCGAAGATCCCGACCGGCCTGGACCCCGTCCCCCCGGTGAGTTGAAGAGCAGTGAGCTGTGACTGGAAAAAAGAAAGTGTATGCAAAAGCGTGCGTCTGCGTAACTTCGCGCAAACGAAAAGTCGTATGTTCGGCACCTCGCCCTCCCTCTCTTTTTCTCCAAGACTAAACCCAATACATGTTGCATCGGGTTCTTGTCCCCCCGTCAACTTTGACCTGAAGGAAACGAAAAAGCCACCGCCGCAGACCGCCAGCTCTTCCGCAACCGCGGCAGCCAACCACTTTTAAACCAACCTACACACCCCGTTTTTCTTGTGCACGCCTGCCTCCATCGCCAGGACCGCCGGGGCCTCGCCCGCCTCCGCCCCCCCCTCCCCACGGCTCCCCCGCTCCCACCCCCGGTGGCACGGAAGAGGAGGAAGTGGATTTCAGCGTCGGTCTCATGAACTTGGGAATGAAGTCTCTGCGCGGCGAGAAGCCGGGCAGGAAGCTTCGCGCACAGGGTGAAGACAGGGCTGGAGGTCGCGACGATCCCTCTGGACCCCCGGGCCCACCTGGCCCACGCCCCCCCGGTGAGTTCAAGAGAAGGAAGGCCTGAGATATAAAAGTTGACTAGAAAAAAACCGTAGAAACGATGATGATGGGAATTTTGTCGTGAGGCACATTTCGGCTATACCCCTCGTCGTGTCGCAGCTCCTACTTGTTTTTTTTTTTGTTTTTTCCATCGCCGGATCCGTAGTGAAAATGAAGGCCACCGGGAGTGCTTTTTGCTTCTTGTGCTCGGGTCACTTTTTCCGTGCAATAGTGCATGCGTATCTAAAACAGAAGGGCAAAGTCGAGGTCTCCCGTTGCAAAATTTCACGTTGATGTCGCGCTGTTCAAAGAGCTGAAAGATCTTACCTCTATTGCGCGAGCAACAAAAGAACAATTGCAGGCGATAGGTCGTCTACGTAGCCTCGCATTTACCGAAAGCCTGATGTTTGCAAGTTCGCACTCCCTCTCCGATAATCAACCCGAACTCTGGCTTACTTCGCAGCTGATCTCCGCTCCCTTGAACATCGACCCGACTGAAAAAGCAAACGCCACCGCCACAGAACGCTCTAGCGTTTCACCCTCCACTCACCATTTCACGAGTCGCTTCAATAGTCAACCCAAATGCTGGCATAATTTCCAGCTGATCTTCGCCCTCGTCCGTACTGACCTGACTGAAATTGCCACCGCCACCGCCAATTTTTTCCCAATCGACCACTTACAATTAACCGATCGTCACCTTGTTCTTTTTTCCGTCTCGCCTCGCCTCCGCAGGCCCCCCGGGGCCTCGCCCCCCCCCGC